AACCTGATCACGTACACATACTGAGTTATAACAAAATTCGTCTGAGACAGCTCGCAAGTTCGTTACCGACAAAAACTGGTCGTGTTAATGCGTGCCTTGTAGCCATCATAGCGGGGCCAAATTTGGCGCAGCACGACTTGGCAACGTCGTGCGCGCCTGCTCGCGAAATGCACGTACCCACTTCAATTCACGTAAACAAACAGTATTGCGTCACAGCGGCCCCGCCCACGAGCTAATATGATCCTAAACACCGTGCACTACGGTTGAATTCACATTGGAGATAAGATAATGTTGATTAAATTGTTATTCGCGAAAATTTTCGCATGAGTATAATTTGGTAGTTAGAACTGAATACAGCAAGCAGAACGTGTATACAAACAGGATATTAAAATTGTGTCTTATTGTACCTTATTGTAGATTTTTATACAAAGACGTAGATGATCAATCGATATAGAAAGCGAGATTTGATATAATCATTTTTTACTCCACCTTGTTTATCTCCGATCAAGCTAGTTATATTATTTAATAAAACGGCCGACTAAACTACTTCAACTAATATACAGTATCAACTCTAGTTATGAGTGTTGCTTCCCAACACACTTTTTCGGTATCAAAAACAGAGTTATTATAACAAAGTTACATGTGCAAACAATTCCTCGCCACATTATTGATCAAAACAGATTTTTTGGCTTGGCTAACTTTTCTAATTGGTAAGGTAACATTTTCATATCAAAAATAATTTAAAGTGCACGATAGCACAAGAGAATCTCTACATTAATAAATTTCAAACTTCTAATCACAACATTGGCAACTCATAAACAAAGACAACCGTCAAATTTACTATTAGATATAAGTAATTATAAATATACTGTAACGGTGACTTTTCAGAAGAAAATACAGTGGTGGATAATGGAAAATTGCACAAAAAAAAAATGGCAAGGAACAATCTACATGTCCAATCACCATCAACTAAAGTGTATTCGAAAAATGCACACAATAAAAGACTGAAACCGAATTTCGGTTGCACTGCAAGCGGACCGAGTTCAGACGGTTGGGTACTTTCAAAAGTGCCCCAGATGTTGGTTAACGGTAGATATAAGAGTCCATCTCGTGACAACAGAATGCCGGAACTGCGCAAGCAAGCATCTCATCTCGCGATTCGGCTCAACACGCAGATTTAACATATATTAATGCCAATTGTCTCTCCAAAAATCTACACATTTCACCCATACTAACCGATCATAATATCATAATTTTTAATGAATGGTAAAATATCCTAGCATCCAAAAGCAGGATTTAATTGCGGTGCTCACGCCTAGATTAATTTCGGTCAATTAAAAGGAGCACGAAGCTCGATATTATTTATTTGTTGTAAAAAAAATCAACATAGTCATACGAAAAAATAAAACAATCAATAATAATGTAAAGACATATAATACAATGTAAAATGTTAATACGGAATATAGTATTATCCAATAAGTTTCTTTTCAGCAAATCTTGCACATTGTTAGTATAAACTCCGCTTTAAAATGTCATAAGCACAAGAAAAATAAGCAAATAAATACATTGTGCGACTTGCCATCGAAAGTGGCAGATCGTTTCAATTACAAGCATGATTGAATACAAACTAAACAACGTTTTGCTTTGAGAGTTGACTCCGATATTGCCGGTCGTCGTTCGTTTACCAGCAGACATTAATTCCTGGGAAATCAAACATTTGATCAAACCAATACACTCATACTGTATAAGCGAGGTAAATATCACGAGTAACAGTTTTTAACTGTGCTGATAGTCGCTATTAAGTTGAAAAAAGCATAATATTTAACGTAAATTTTAATGGATTTAGAATTTGGGAAAGGCCAAGGCTCACCTTTCATATTCAAATTGACGCATTTTATCAGAATGTGATGTCAAGAAGCCATAAAAGTCGGCATGTATGAACATGAATGTATGAAAACTGTAATGAACGTTAAGAATTCGCAAAATGTATATTAATGGTTGACGCTAGGGCGAATATGAAGGGCGACCGTAGGCCACGCACTTCTTTTCTCACTCCACTAAATGCCGCGCAAAAGAAAACAACAAAAACCATTTAATAATAATAATAAAAAAACATTGCTATTATAATAAATTTCTATTTGAATTAAGTAACCTACAACCTTACTTTTTGCCTATCCTATACCCTATCCATACTAATATTATAAATGCGATAGTAACTCTGTCTGTGTGTTTTTACGTCTAAGCTCAGTAGCTTACTGTACCAATTCTAATTTTAGGTACGAAACGACAGATTTTATCGCGAAAAATAGGTCCAAACATACCCCGTAGTAAAGTCTAATGGGTCAAGACCCATAGCAAGGTATGAAATGTAATAATAACTGAATTATACGCGTGCGAAGCCGCGGGCGGAAAGCTAGTTGGTTTATAGAGAATAGTTATTAGAATAAACTGCTACTAAACAACTATTTATACTATAAAATACGGATCATTTGTGGTTATATCTAGCGACATTGTACACTCATTACACATTCATTAACCAGTAAACGCTTGAACATAAAGTGAAATTAATACGCAATGTCATTGGTTCGACATAAGACCTAGAAATATACCGTATTTTTATGGTGGGTGACAAGGTGATTATGTGTTCAATACCTCAGAATCGTTTTGAACGGTTTCAGCGATAGCCCAACGGGCTCTTATCTGAACGGAGCTAAATAGTATTTTAATGGGTAAATAGAAATATTTACGTAGTTTCTGCTGCAAAAACGTAATATACACTTGTAATCTTCCGTTTTATTAAGTTTTGATGCCTATACAAAACAAAGTAGTCAATGAGCAATATATACTCGTACCTAGTTCATTGGAACAAAATGGTGGTCGTAAACAGGAAAAGCGTTCCGTAAATTTAAGAGTGGGAAGACGATGGTAATCTCTTTCCTGTGAACTTCATTACATCCGTGCGTCTTACGATTGTAAAGAACTCCCCAAAAGTATTTTATTCTGTTCTGAAAGTTTGTCGTAACTAATTACACACTAGGCGTCAAAAAAATCGCACCTTTTAAAAATATTGTATAAAATTTCTTGAATATAATTTAGAGGTAAGTGTTAAGAGGTAATCATTAGAGAGGTAACAAAAGGAGTATATAAAAACAATTAAATTTAAATTTGTTTAATTTTAAACACACAAATAATATTCAAATTAAAAAAAAACCTCAACTTAGTCATAATCAAAAACAGATAATTTACGAAAATAATATACAAAAAATGACTTAAAACTTACAATCTAGTGTTACCCTATCTGCCCTGATGACGGCTTCAATACCATCCCTCTTGAACCTTGCATATTCAGGAACTCTTCTTGAGGAATAAGCTTCCATTCTTCAAACACCGCGCCTTGGAGCTCCCGAAGTGCCGAAGGTGCGGGATTCCAAGATCGGATCTTTCGTTTAAAATGGTCCCAAAGACTTAATTCTAAGCACAACACAGTGTATAGAGTAGAAAATTAAAATATCAATAAAACTAGAACTATGCCATCTAAAGATCGATTACGAAATAAAAAATATATAAATAAGCTAAGAACAGCGCCATCTAGGAATTTGATTTATAGTTATATCTTTAGGACTAATCTGACAGTTGTTGCCACAGTGACATCACACGGGCAGGACGTGAATTTTAAGATAAATAAGACAATCGTGCTCTTTAAAGACTCAAAATCGGATCCTTATGTTTATTACAATGTAAATTTTAGTTTTTGTGCAATTTCGTGAATTAGTTTTCACTACCGAAACTACCCTATTGGATTCAGATCCGGACTTCTCGGCCACTGCATCACAAAGATTTGGGCCATCTTCAAGAAGTCACCCACAATGGCTGCAGTATGAGTGCGAGCGTTATCGTGCATTAATGTGAACCCGTCTCCACAAAAATAGGCAAAAGAGACCACATGCGCTTCCAGGATCTCCTGTGACATAGCGGCGAGCAGTCAGAGACACAAGGAACCGGAGGTCTTTTTCAAAAGTGCAGCGCCGTCTAATGGACCTCTGTCTTCGGATGTAGCCACCGGTCTCTTTGGAACGCTGGTACACTCTTCGAAAACTCTTCTTTGGGCGGCTTCATCAGCTGTGACATCTATCTTCGAGGTGTTTTTCCTTGTGTTAAATCTGTGCGTGGGTTCTCGTCAATGGTTGAATAGCGAATGACCCACATTGACGCCGTGTTGACCCTTTTTTTTACCCACAAAGCACTAAGCACAAATTACGACTCTTACGGGTAGCAAAAATTACATCAAATTTTTGTGACACTTCATTAGTGGCTTTAGGTATCGCCTTTTAGTTAAAAGAAACGTTTTTATTAAGTTAATTTAATAGTCTTTTTAATTTAATAATAATCTTTTTAAGTTAATTTAATAATTTAATTTTTGGTGCGGCTATACGTGCATATCAAGAGTTAATGACAAATGAAAGTGATTTTCGAATGGGTGCGATTTTTTGGACGCCGAGTGTACACTGAATATATTAGAAAAGATCAAAATATAATAAAAATGCATCCAAAAAATAATACAAAAATAAATTAATGTAAGTAGGAAACTTAAGACTATGCGTAAAACAAAAGAAAAACGAAACAAAATCAACCGATCACTCGATGATATAGATATGGACAGAGAAATCGTTTTTCACAAAATAAAGCGTTCAAAAATATTTTTAATTTATAACTCTTAAACATTTATTGTTAAGTTCTCAATCAAAACCGTCAGCCACAACGTAACTCTTGTACTTATTAATCGATTATCTCTTCAATAAAAGATTATAGTTACGAGAAGACATGATCTAAATAGACAAATTTGGAGGTGATTATATATTTTTTTTCGTATCATATTGATGTTGTTTCCTCAATTTAAATTATAGCTTATTTGGACGTTCAATTTCTTTGCTCACAATCATACTTATATGCGAAAATAGGTTGTCCAAGAACTCAACGATTAAGAAGTACCCTAAACCTACCTTGTATCCGGTGTTGTCAGTTTGTACTTGTTGTTGCGTTAGGTGTGAGGCCGAGGGGCTCAGCACGCGTCGCTTCTTGGCTGGCTGGTGACGCGCCGGGGAGTCCGGCTGGTACTCAGAATGAGTGCTCTGGGGCTGAATGCTGCGATATTGCGCCGGCGGCTCCGTGTACATGACATGCATTCCCTGATAACAAACAATAAATACAATTATATACTGGTCATCATCATAACGGTTCAGTAGATTTTTAAATGCTTTTCGTTGGCCAGGTATCATTTCAGGGCAAGTGAAATGATTCTTGTAATAAAATAAATATTTAACAAGCTAACAGATAACAATAATATAATATCTTAACATGTAATGATGGCGTACACGGTATTTCAAGTTATCACGGCCAAGTTTATTTCATTAATTAAAACAATCAAGTAATTAAGACTTAAAATAAATTGACCATTTGTTACAAGTTGACGTGCTGACGATTATATGTATAAAAAACAGATACATTTATGTGCGCATTATAAAACATTTGTTTGTACTATTTAACGTTTGGAGAAGCATGTCGTCATGACTCGACACTTGACTCTCGTAGGTATCATACTACATTTAAGAAGGGCCGTAAAGCCTAAAGACTATCCTTGTTTATCTCAATACGCGGCTATTATATAAAAAAGCGACAAAGGATGGCGATTTGCAAGGTGAAAGGGTTTTTAATGAATTACTATCGGGCTATTATATCTCTGTAACACAAAGTGATTCTTATGTTATTAATCGCCCCTGTAAGAAGGGTTCCAGATATAGAGAAAATTTTAGAGGCAAATTAGTGATTTTTTTCAATCGCATAAAAAATATATGAACTCCCGCTTTGACTGCAACAGAGCTCTTAGAAATATGACGTAGTTTTCTCATTTTTAATTACATCTTAATTGGACTTTATTTCTTTGTACAAATCCAGTTAAAATCTAGAGATTTTTGTTATACGCGCCCTCTTTAATACATACCGCGGTAACTGTGGGTTACATATAATTTCAAGAAAAGCATCGTAAAACTGAGTTTTCATTTACTAAGAGCCACCATTCCTGTTGCATGTCACTTTTCCGTGAATTAGAGTCGTAAAGAAGTCGAGATGTGAAATGTGGGAAACTTTCGCACCAACGCCTCATTCTAAAACAGTTTCTATTTGGATAAGACTAGACGTAAGATACTAATGTTATTCTCAAAAGAATTTCTAGATCAAACATGAAACTAATAAGTACCCAATAAAGTTAATATAGTAATTTTTATACAATGTTTAGATAAATTGAATAGAAACATAACATTCTCGAACATTGAGTTGGATCCCAGAATATTCCAGTTATAAGTATTATTTACTGTAAATAATTCAACAAGACAATTCCTAACAACGACATTAAAAGATTTAATGCGAGTGTGAACCTTACCATATGAAGCTTTAAAAAGAGTTATATTAAGGGAAATTAAAATTCGGAAAATTTTCAGAAAATATCGAGGAAAATATATTATAATAGGATTTTTATATGAACTTATAATTTAGAGAGGGTCTAGTATACACAGTTTTTTATACTTTTAAATAGGCACTAAGAATTTAACATGATTTGGAATCGGATTTGAAGGCACACGAAACATGATCGTGGCATAACAATCTAGATTTACAATGAAACCCGACTCGCCATGTATTATAACGTTCGAGACAGTGTTCAGTTCCGAGTCCAACATGAAATCGGCTTATTTTATAATAATAATAAAATCAAGAGACACTTGAAAGGCTACGCAGAAAAACGGAAGTGCGCCAGTGAGTGTAAGTTCTTAAGTAATTGTCAATGTATGTAAATGTAAAAAAATATAAAAAAAAAATGTATTTATAATAAAAAATAAATTATTACGATGCTTTTTAATGTATTAGTGGAGACATTTTCAATTCTTGTCACTTCCGTGAGATGCTTGCTTATGTATAACGTCATAAGTCGATATATTTCATTTAATATACCTACATTTCAGACACAAGAAATCTAGGTATTAATATTATAAAAAGGTAAGGTTACTAATATTGTGTGTTTGTAAGGTGTAATCTTCTAAAATACTTATCCGATCATGAAAACTCACCTACGGGAAGCTACATCATGCGCGGGGGCTACAATTTATGGGGCCCAAGTCGCGGTAAAACAGCTAGTCAGCAATAAAATTGAGGATAAACGATCGATTACTTTTCTACTCTATATACGTATATTTTGAACGATAAGTAGGTAGATATCAGTGTAAAAAATTGTAAAAACGCAGTATAAATTGATGCAGCTGTTTAAGGCATTACGTATATAATCATAGTATGGTCGAGTGTTATCGCCATGAACCACTAATAACAGATGAAAAAACTGGTGTGACGTGGATGAGACACGTGACCTGCTCCAGCGGATCACACATTCTACTGCTGCGGTCGTATATAAGTAGACCGATATTATTTACAACTACACAACTAGTCACGTTCAAAGAATGAAGAGCAAGCAGATGTTCATCACGCTAGTGATACTTATTAGAACTGAAAACTTTTTGATATTCGACGAGTCTTCGGGTATTTTAAATCTTTAATTTCGTTACATTAAAAAAGGTAGGCAAAACTTCAAGCACTGATATAGATATCTCTATGTATTTACTTGAGGGTTTACAATAACAAAAGAACGACTACCTCTTGCTCCGGTTTCAAGGTGTCGCCATCTCTGAGGTCCCGGGTTCGATTCCCGGTCAGGTCAATGTAGCAAATGAACTTTTCTATATTGACTCGGGTCTGGGTGTTGTGGTACCTTCTTTGTCTCAGATACTCCATAATACGGGGGCTTTAGCTACTCATCTTGGAATCTGAGCAATGTATGTGATATTGTTAAATATTTATTTATTTATTTAATTTGCAACACAGACAGAAAAAGTCGATTGGGGAAGTTCAAGCGAATAGATGGAGAATGGGAGCATTAAAAATCTATGTTGATGTTGGCTTATAGTATGGAAATAAAATGTGATCAAAGGTTAAACAAACTGAGAGGTAACAGTAAGTTAGCTCCCACAAGGCAATTTAAACTGAAAAACAAATTTCGAAGTTATTCACCGTACCTTATTTATTTTCATTTAAGGTATCCATTACGAAAAAGTTGGAACTAAAAACACACAGATTTGCTAGTCGTTTTTGCCGCCACCCGGAACTCGTATTCGATGTTACTCGGATTTTCGAAACATACACCTTTCCAGTGTAAGCTGAATAAAAAAAAAATTGGATATCGACAATGGAATGTTGTACATATGAAAAAGGTCTCACTCGAAAATCTCACACCATGAAGTTTTTATGTACTACACGGCGATTTCATTCTTTAACCCCTGTTATATAAACAGCCAACGTGGTGACGATGATTGAAGATATATTTCTCTATCATAATCAAAATGTGACGTTCTATGTATATTCGATTCATATTTTCAAGTCAAAATTCATCTCATTGAACAGTCCAAAACGTAGTGCTAAGATTTACTCGTAAGTTTCTTTATAACAACTTAATCAAACTGAAGAATTAGCTGTACAGATACATTTAAAATAATCCGTTGGAAAATGTAGGCGGGTTTGTTTTTATTATCGTTTAAGAACGAATCTTGCATGTTGTACATATTTTTTCAATTCCACAAACTTTAAATGGATATTTTAAAGTATTCTTTGTACCGACATAAAGTTGAAACATTCACATGAATATGAGAACAGTGGCGATATCCTATAATCCTATTGTATAGAGAACAATAGTGTCAAAACTATAATAGGTAATATCCCTCCCATAGACTTTCTAAAGCAAAACTGATGGGCGGACGGCAACGTACCCGACATTTCGCTAATAGTTAGTTATTAATTTCATTAAAAAACAACGTTATATAATTTAATAACAGTACCTATTGAGAGACTCCAAATCTAAAATCTTTTTTCCAAATCCAAACTGGAAATATTCTAACTTAAAATTTATAGCATTAATTAATACAATTCCCAAGTCATTTAATATATTTGTTGTTAATTACACACCACATAGTTATAATGAGTACATATCCTATATATCTATCATATATCGAAAAAGTATCTACCAAGGTTTTCTTTCTTATTAGACGAACAAAAAAAAAGGCTGTTTTATGAACCAATATCCAAACTAAGCGCTGAGGTTACGGCTTAGGCAACTCATTCAGATTATTAATTATAATATATATTTATCAAAAAAATTTCATAAACAGAACTCGACAAAAAGAAAGTATTTAAAAATTAGTTTCCGAAATCAAATTGTCGCTACGGTACTTTCTTGTTTTCTCCATGACAACCCTTTCGGTTTTCTTTCATGTATAAAAAGTAAATTAATTTTCAAAACTCAATAAACAACTCATATTCTATTTGTACTTTTTCGTATTTATATTGATATCTAAGTTTCGACTTTGCAAACTTCAGTTTTAATATGTTAGTTAATAGGAACGGAAATGACTATCTTTGGTCCATTCGTTTCCTGCAAAAATCAACTTTTTCTAGAGTCGCCCTCTAGTGAGGTGCTTTTTAGTTCTTTCTTAAATAATAATAATTCTTTATTTGCTTTAAATAGGGTAGATTACAATGAAGTGGATAGTTGTTTTCAATAACATACTTAGACCTATTTAGCCATATTATTTCACTAGCATGCAAATGTCAGTTCAACTGGATTTCAAAACGATGTCCATTTTAAATTATAATAAATATTAATTACGATATTAAACATAATTAAATTAATTACATTTATTGAAATAATTTTGTGAATTGTCAACTTTTACATTAATTATAAACTACTAGAACATTTAAATTAATTAATGCAGAGTTGCATCGACCACAACTATGCTATTCCTTGTGATTTAAAAAATCTTCCACTGTATAGAAGGTATGGTTCAACAGCCATCGACGTAACAATGTTTTGAATTGTTTAATAGGGAGGTCTTTAAATTGTAATAGTATTTTATTGTAGTTATTTTGACACTTCCTCATTATTTTAAAAACTTCCTCATTAATTTAAAGAAAGAAATAAAATGATAAAACCATAAGGCTTAATTATAGAAAACAGATAATTACACAGGCAAATGTCGTAAATCTTACAAATAGCACGCGTTATGACGAAAACGTGAGGACGAAATGGGTGTAC